GGCCATGTGAAGTCGCCTGGTGGGCGATTTCTTTGCGCTTTCTCGCCTGGGTGGCTGCCGAAAACGCGTCGGGCAGGCCTTCATCCCTCACCTGCTGCAGCAATCGCTCGATGCCTCTAGCAGTCACGAAACTATATTTACCGCATTCGGTCAACCGAAGGCGCTTCTGCATGTGTGAAGAAAACCTCGAGGGCCAAAATGGCTGACGGAATTGGAGGAGTTTGGGGTTTGGGTGCGAGGATGGGCGGGGAGGAAATTTCATTTCACGTGGGCTGACGCCAATCCGTAGCCCCCCTCTGGGGGCTCTAAGAGAAGCCCATGATCGAGCTCCAGCTCGAGACTTCCTTGCATTCCACTCGCACACGAACACTTATCATATACAGGGTACATCTCCACGAACACCTATCATATACATGGTAGATCTCCAAGCTAAGGGCCCAAGAAGGATCCAAAAGGAGTCTCATAAGGCCCGAAGAGTGCACATGGGGGCTCTTGCTGTAGATACTCACGCTGGGGGCCTGAAAATGAATGTATGTATGCATGCAGGCACGTACGCAAGTTTGTTTGTATGTATGTCTATATACACACATACATGTATATATACATATATAACATCATGCGCCATAATATTTACCAAGGACGGCCCAAGAGGCCTGCAAGACGCCCAAGATGGCCTCCAAGACCGCCAAGATGGCCACAACATGTTTTAAAGACGGCCTACGAAGCAGACGGCCTAACATGGCCTCAAGATGGCCTCCAAGACAGCCCAAGAAACCTCCCAGCTGTCCCAAGGGGGGATTCGGTCGGAGTTGGCTGGTGCCAGCGGAGTAGAGCGAGTTCGCCGTCCATTCGGTCGGAGTTGGCTGGTGCCAGCGGAGTAGAGCGAGGGCGTTTCATTGGGCCCTCTGACAGCCCACGAGTAGAGTGTACTATAGTGCGCATGGCCCGACCGCAGCCCCACTGCGAAGGGGCAGAGAGAAAGAGACTGTAGAAGCATGCTTCCACTCAGGCCGCGAGGTACTCGGCTGCTTTGGCATAAGCCATCTGAGCAACCGATGTCTGAGCGGAACTGCCCAACCCCGCCTGCTGAGATAGGTACTTCGCGCGGTCGTAAGCCTTGCACTTGAAGTTCTTCGGGATGCAGCCCTTTGCAAGCTCGGGCGTCAAGAGATGCGAGATGTCGGCCGTGAACTTGCCATGCTTGATGATGCATGGCCCACCTGCGGCAGCGGCTTTGGCTTTGGCCTTGGAAGCTGTTGCTTTGGCCTTAGCTTTTGCCTTGGCCTTGCCCTTGCCCTTTGCATTGGCCTTGCCTTTGGCCCGGGCCTCCGGAGCCGAGTCGCCGTCGGCGGCGCCGTCGGCGGCGCCGTCGGCATGCCCTGCCGCCTTGCGCTTGCCGCCTACCTGCGAAGCAGCGGTGGGATGGCCGACGGCCCGGGCAGATGCGACCATCTTCCTCTCGAGCTCCTTGGCCTCATCAACCGCGGCCGCCGCGGTCTTCGCGGGCTCTGCTGGCGCGGGGGGTGCTGGCATCGGTTCCTTGAGCGAACCCCCCAGAGACAGAGTCTCTGCACTCAACGTATGAGAGGGTGCCGAAGACTTGGGAGAAGCCGCGCCGCCCTTCAGCATTGTAAGGTTGATGCCGCCGTCGTTGACGTTGTCTGCTCCAGTCGGCGTCACCCCCATGCGCTGCATCATCGCGCCCATCATCCCCATGCACATCTGCATCACGTCAACTTGTTGATGATGCTGCTGCAATGCGCCTGCGGTCGGAACAGCAAGTGAGGTGCTAGGGGATTTCTTGCTGCCCGACACGCCAGTGTGGTTGGACCTGTAGCACATTCCCAAGACGGCATCGTTGTAGACCGACGTCTCGAACGGTGGGGGTGGTGGACAGGGCTTGTCGGCGCCGTATGCGTGGGCATAAATCTCTGGAGGCAAGGTCAGGGGGCTGTCCATGTAGTTCGTGATGTAGGTGAACGGCCATGTAGTCGTCTTGTCGTGCATCTTGATCAGCTTCGACAGGTTGTGGCACATTTCGCGTTTCTGAGCGTGGTCCTTCGGCGGGAGGTCGCCCTTCATGACCAGCAACGCGCATGCCGACATCAAGAGCTTCTCGCATGGGCACGCGATGCCGAGCATGGAAAGCCTCTTCGCCATCGCCTGCAGCTTCGGCTCTTCGGTCAGCTGGCTGCTCTCGAAGATCGCCCAATCGCCTTCCGTGAAGAAGTTGCGGATGGCACTGCACTTCTGGGTAGGACGAGTCGACCGCGCGACGGGCGCCGCAATGTTATTGCTCACGGCAATAGAGAAGGCCTGCCTGTGTTCTACTGTCCACGGGCCACGGCCTACCTCGTTCATGATCTCGGTCCCCCCCTGGAGCGCGATCCCAGTCGCCTGCTGAATCTGGACCAACATCGCCTGCAACTGCGCGTCTAGCATCGAGCCGACGGGGGTCCCTGTAGTCGCCGCTTGGGCAGTGACAAACTGAACCCGATGCTGAAGTGCCGTGACGATCGCGCTATGCGCCGAAGCCATTGCGCCAATCGTGAGTGCAGCCAACCGTCGTTGTGCCTGTACTGCAAGCTCGCAAACCTGCCTAAGCCAAAATGGCTACGGGGATGGAGGAGGAGGAGGATTCCCATTTTTGTCCCTGGGCCTCTCCTGAGGACGAGGCCCAGGAACAAAAATGGGAATCCTCCCCCCCGCGAAATGACAGGCGAGGGTACAAAGGATGAGGGGATGCTATAGCGGGGGAAGGTTCGTCGGGGACCCCCTAGGAGGAGGAGGGAAGGAAGAGGGAGGAGGGAAGGAGGAGGACGAGGGACCTTCAGCACGCCAACCCCGCACTTGGGGTTCGTGCTTGGGATCTCTACTTTGGTCAACTTGGGGCTCAGCGGCCGCCTTGGGGCTCGTTTGCGGGATCTATACTTCGGTCAACTTGGGGCTCGGCGGCCTCCTTGGGGCTCGTTGTTTGGATCTCCATGTCGGTCAACTTAGGGCCTGGCGGCCGCCTCGGGGCTCTTTTTTGGGACCCCTACTTAGGCCAACTTGGGGCCCGACGGGAGGGGGGGGAGGAGGACATCGTCATTCACGACGTCGTCTACGCCGTCGAACAGCCGCCCTTGGCCCGACAGATCTGGCGCTTCCGAGGCCGCCCCCCAGAAACACGAACTTCATATAGAGAGCTCGACGTAAAAGCACGAGCTCGCTATAGCGAGCTCGCGCAAGTGCACGGGCTTAAAAGTCCAACATAGGTGCCTCAGGCACCTATGTTACGTTTTGAAGCCCGTGCATTTGCGCGGGCTCGCTATAGCGAGCTCGTGCTTTTACGTCGGGCTCGCTATATGAAGTTCGCGCTTGTTCGCTCGCCCCGCCGAGGCGGGAAACGACGACGACGAGATCGCTCCTAAAGACGATGCTGATGACCATGCGGATGATGCCGAGAGCACTTGTGGCGATGGTGTTGGTGTTGTTTGTTCAACGATATGCTGTGCATTTCGCTAGTACGCGCACAATTGTGCGATACGTTTCGACCGTGACCGCCCGTGCGCCAGCACCTGCGATGCATGCCCCGATGCGACAGGCCTGCTATGCATAGGACAGACTGCCACTGGTCGCGCTTGCAAAACCCGACTCTCGTGTATACGCCAAGCGCCCCCACCGCCGAACGTATGTGCCCGCGACCCTATAGCTCACTCCATTGCGACATCAGCGTCTTCGCCTCCGTCCTCCTCTGCCTCTGCGATGCCAGGGTCGATGTGGACGCCGTGGTGCTCCTGGAAGAATGTCTGCAAGACTTTCACCGTCTTGTCGACGCGGTCCTGCATCGCGGCGTAGTCAGACGAGAACTTGATCTTCATGGATTTCACCTTCCACCTCTGGCTTGCCATGTCGAAGTAACTGAGCCTCAAAGTATTCCGAGAAGAGATCCACTTGATGTTCTTATCGTTGACACTCGGGCGGAACAGTGGCTGATCACGGGGCATTGGAGCGTTGTGGAGGAGGTTGATGTTGTCGACGGTGAGCTCCAAGTGGAGTAGCGCCCCCTCATCAGCGGCACGTAACACTCTGACTTTGTGCCAGTTCTCGAAGGTGTCCTGTACGTCAAGCTCAATGACTTCGCTGATTTCGTCGGCCAGCTGCCTCCGAGAGCGTTTGAGGCGAGGCCCACCAGTATCGCTATCCTCCTCGGCGTCCGCCATCTCGTCCGCCGCGCGCTCGATGTCCTGCATTAGTTCAGTTACCTTCTCGTTGCGGAGGCGCTTCAATTCAGCCACCATGCCGAAGTTATTCTTCAACAGCTTCACGCATTTGTGGTCCGAGCGGTTGGGCACAACGAACTCCGCGCCATTGCGCTCGACAACCCTGGCAACCCAGCTCCCATTGATGCCCTGATCTCGGTCGCTGGAAATGACGACGCACTCACGGCGAAGGGTGAGCGGCATTTGAGTCCGAAAATCAGCTTAAGTCCGAGCTTGTGCTATAAATCTCACTCGACGGCTCGAGCCCAAAACAGCTACGGCGACATGAATGCGAGCACGCCCTCTTGCGCACCACTCCATCGTCAACGCTATCGCCAGGGCAGCGACTTAGTGCCACCACAGCTCCGCTTGTTGGGACAATGCAACGCAACGCAGTTCAAAATACCACAATAAAACTCAATGAGATATGATGGTGATGGTGATGCTGATGATAATGATGATGGTGGTGATGATGATGGTGATGATGGTATGATGGTAATGATGGTGGCGATGGTGATGATGATGATGGTGATGATGATACGAGGATGGTGATGGTGATGATGATGATGATGATGATGGTGATGCCGCAACGCAATTCGTGATGACGATGGCGATGATGATAATGATGTATTTTGTCGGGGGCGCGCAGCCGATAAGTTCGCCACGGGCATGGCGGCAGCGGCCGCAGATGGACCAGACTATATAAATATAGCGAGCTGAGCGCCCTGCACGGGCTTCACCAGAAAGTTTGACATCTCACGGCTTCTGGGAGCTGCTGACCCAGATCTCCTCGATCTCGTAAAGGACACGGAACTTGCGCTTCACCATTTTGTTGATGGGGTCGCTATGCGTAGATACAGGATTGTTCAGCATGGCCTGGAACACCGCCTTCGCATTGACGTCATCGCCGACGCTCTCGATGCCATCGTATGTCTCGCATGCTCTCGACCGCGTGCGTAGCTCTGGGATGCGAAGGCGCGGGCGTGCATATGGGGCCATCATCCGATGTTGCGGCCGAGTCGCCCCCCATTACGTCGCTCGGGCTCTTCTCAGCTGCTGCGGCGACTGGCAAGCTAGGATCTGCGCCCGCATCGTCGTCAGGGCTCTCTTGGACCTCGATCGCTCCTCCCTTCGCTGCCTCCGCTTCCTCCTTCTCCCTTTGCTGCTGCTCCCACTCTGCCACTGTGTCGGGAAAGCGCTCGTATGAATCGGGCGCCGATGGCAGGCCCAACGCCTGCACAAGCAGAGCGGGGTGTGCCATGAGATTCAGGCGCCAAGTCAAGATACAGAGGGGTGCGCAAGCTTGAGCCAGCACAGCTCGGGCCAACACCCCAATCGCACAACGCTCGTGGGATGTATGATGTGTGGTGAGCACAGGACATAAACGCAGAGAAACCATGGACAGCACAGCTCGGGCCAACACCCCAATCGCACAATGCTCGGGCTGGGCCGCATGCACGTGGGATGTATGATGTGTGGTGAGTGTGATGATGATATGTGGTGTGATGATACAGAACTCGTTATATGTGTTTCACTCTTTGCATCCGCTTCATGCGTTTTTTATTCGTTCACAATGTGTGCTTGTGTGTGTTAGCTTGATTTACCCGTCTTACTCGTTTCATTTTTGTTGGTCTACTCGTTTCTACTTGTCTATTGCGTTTGGGTAACATCGGGGGCCCTTGGGTGGGTGTATTGGGGCCTCTTTGGAACCTTTTTGGGGCATCTTTAGGGCCTCTTGGGCCCCCTTGGGGACGTCTTCTTGGGGGGTGCGCAATCCTCGGAGGAGCGGCGAGGACGAGGAGAAATGAGAAGGATGGGAGGAGACAAGACCATACTTCAGCAGAACGCATTGCGGCCTCACGTATCGGGCTGGCACAGGGGCAACGAAAAACTTGAGGCCGACAACGGCGACGGCGGTGCCGCGCAAATCAACCACGTTAACAACGTGGCGACATATATCGAGATGCTTGGTGGGGTGAGGGCGAGGGTCTAGCGTCATTCTCCAGGAGGACACTGGATGCGCTGAAAACCAACAACTTGAGAGCGCTTCTTCGAACCAACGTGGCCAGGGCGGGCGCCAGGCCGCAGGACGGGGCACCAGATGGGGGGACAGCTTAACATATTTACAAACCTCAGATGTTCCCAACGATCTCCTGGTTTTGCCCCCTGCCCCTAAATTCTATCCACCCCTGTGCGTTGTGAGGGAGCTCGCGAGAAGAGATTGTTCATGGATGCATTGGGTGATGGCTTCACGCCTTCACATTCTTTACACCGGCGGCAGAGCTCGCAGCGTCGGAGGGCCTCTTCGGGACCGCCTTATCGCTGCGATACAAAGCTTTCCCTGACTTGAGCGCAACAGAGTTGTACAATATCGGAATCTCCACGATGGTCTCTGCAAACTGTGAACCCTTGTTGTAAGGGCCATCATGGAGGACGGCGCTCTCGACAGGCAGCTTTACCCTCACGACGCCGTGAATGAGATTGACGGCGCTCCCTTGCTTCGCCAACGGCACCAACCAATATGGAACCACAAACTGCTCTGGGCTTGGTTTACCAAACTTCGGGAGCTCGATCCTGGGAGAAACAAATGCTTCGTAGCCTTTGGGCGCAACGCCTTGGGTGCGGAGAGCGACTGACGTGGTAGGACATTCTTTAGACGCTCCAATTACAGACGAGAATGGAACCAAGATCAACGCACCTTTCTCGTATGATGTAGTCGTGGTCATCTCCCTCACGCTCGGTTTAGGGGTGTTGGCCCATGCTAGATTCACAGAAACCGTCCCAACCGTACGATAGTATGTGTGCGCGAGGGCTTCGCGCACACGGGATTCCCCCAATTCGATCTGTATATCGTGGTGGTCCAACTCGTTTGCACTTTCGACGTTCACGACCATTGAAAATAATTCCTCAATCGGCACAACTTTGTATTCGTCTGCAACTTTTCCAATCGGCACTTTGAATGGTTTAGCCTTAGCCATGGCAACGGACTTCAATGAGACATTCTGCTCTGTGCAAGATTCCACCACATACCTTGTATCAGGTCCGTTAGTTTTCGTTACCATTGACCCCACTTTGAAACCCATCGCCTCCAAAGAATTCTTGGTCAATCCAGCCTCCCCGAACTCCCTCATGTGAACAGTCTCGGTATTCCAAGGCTGCGCGGGTGCAAGATCTTTGTATACCCATGGCAACGGCTTGTGATCCTTCAACTCAGCTTTGAGTTTGAACATGTCGCTGAGAAACTCTTGGAAAACAGAATCGATGCTTTCGAAATGCTTCCTTGACTTCGAACGCTTGTTGTGTATGCACATGATAGCCCGCACCTCTGCATCGCTGAGGGTCTTGACAATCGTAGCCTGCGGGATATCCATGTCTTTCGGGATGTTGGATGTCCAAGTCTTCGCTTTTCTCAAATAACCAATAAACTTCTCAATCGAGTTACGACCTTTCCCAGTGTAGACGACCGCGTCGGCACTGGTCACGAGTTTGGACGTTCCATTATGTGTGTGGCTGTCTGGAGCGCAACAAGACTCGCTTTGATGAGAGATGTGATACATTCGGGTGCCGACGCGTAGTCTATCCCAGCTAACAACTTGAATGTCTGACCACTTATGTCCTTCCGACTTCGTAGCGTTTTCGAAAACGCGTCGAGATCACGAAGGAAAATTGGTTTATATTCGCCGCCTGCCCACTTGATTACGTAATCTGCCATATCACGCACCTGTCCTTTGAGATAAGGCTTCCCCTGTTCAATAGACCTTGCAATTCCATCCAACTTATATGATCCTGTCATTTTTCTGGCACGCACAGCACGGGTGTGCATTTGCAGCAAAGTTTGAATTTTGGTTTGGGTCCGTTCGACGCCGTGTGCTGCGTTTCCAGCTTCAGACAAAAAGTTTGCCACAAGAGGAATCTCGCTGGCGACTTGATGCCGCACGACATAGTACATAAGGCCACGTTCCAAGACATCTTTGAACCCAGGGTCGGCGGCAATTATCTTGTCTTTCGACAATTTCCCATCTGTCGTGTACTTCTCGTCCAACTCAGAACTCGCACCATGGAACACCGCTCTGATGAAACCAGTCGCGTGGCTGCATGTGACGGTGGTCGCTCTCAAGTCGTGGGCGGCGATGTACGGTATCATACCGTCCGAGCTGTCGCTGAGTTCTTTGTTGAAATCGTACTGACGTGTGCTGTTCGGGTCCACCTCGAAACACGTAGCGTTCGTTGTCATCTTTTCGCTAAACCCATCAGATAATATCTCGAGCCCCAACGCATGTACGTCCATTGGATCCAGCCCTTGGCCGAATCTATTTTCGGGATCCACTCCGATTTTGTCTGGCTGGATGCGCTCTCTATAAGCTAATCCTTGTTGCATAAGAATTGCCATGACTTTGTCTGCTTTCGAAATCATCTGCTTTGCCTTCGTCTCGTCGTCACTATTGTCAATGGATTCTATAATCGCTACAATGTCTGCCTTCACTGCACGATTTTTTCCAACAACGCCATGCGTGATGGACACTCAAAATCACGATGCGTCTCGAAGTATCAAAGGGAACGGTATGTGGATGAGGCAAAACCGCTAAAACGGCTATAGCACCGACGCGATGATGGCAGCAGGGTTGTTGGCGGCCGAACTTCGGTGACTTCCTCGAGAAACACAGAAACGATTAACAGTTTCCACCAAATCAGAAACAAAAAACACATTGGCGAACATCCAAATCAGCAGAAAGCAACATGGATTTCGCGCCGAGGATCAGCATAATCACGGAACCAAACATAGAAATCCGTTATTTGCACATCTGGGTAAATGGACTTAGCAGATTACCTAAGCAGGTTACCAACCTCGCTAACCAGTTTGGTGCTAACCACACTAACCTACTTGATGGTGTTGCCCTTAAGATGTTAAAAGCAGGTTGCTGGGACGCGAGCGGTTACATAACCGCGCCATGTGCTTATGTGCACTTGCATATGAATAGATGGGTTGCTTGCGAAGTTAGCGTACTTGTAAGTTGCGTTGTGCATGTTATAAGCCAAGATACATCCACTTACAAGCGCACCAAGTGCAAAGCAAAGAGGGCGGTGATTCAAGTAGATGGTCACCGAATTCTCTCGAATCTTGGTGCTATGGTATGCACGTTGTGTGGGTCGTACCAGCTTAATGCTGGGCGTGCGGGGCACTCGAAGCTTGGAGGCTGCTGCCTGGGCCCTTCTCAGCACCCCCCCACACTGTATAAGCAGAGGCATGCTATTAAGGCCATCAAGGCGGGTAAGAACCCCAAGAATGGCCAGCAGCTCAAACTGTTTTGATGAGTTTCCTTGGCCCGCTCTGTTTCCCGTCACTTTTTCCCCTGGGAATCCACGGTAAACGAGCTGGGCCCATCTGATTGGCCCATGCTCCCGTTGTTGGTTGCATGACAGGTCATCCGAGGCGTCCTCCTCCTCCTCCTCCTCCTCAACCTCCTCCTCCTCCTCCTCCTCCTCCTCCTCCTCCTCCTCCTCCTCCTCCTCCTCCTCCTCCTCCTCCTCCTCCTCCTCCTCCTCCTCCTCCTCCTCCTCCTCCTCCTCCTCCTCACCAGGCGCCCTCGACCCGCTCCCGCGCTCCGCGCGGTGCCCGCCGCGAGCTCCTTGCCGAGGCCGCCGCCACGCTAATGCGCCCCGCCGCGACGCTGATGCCCGCGCGGCGCCCGCCCGCCAGGAGAGCGCCCAGGAGCGCCCCGCCGACGCCCGGGAGCTGGCCGAGGAGCGGGCGTGGAGGCTGGCCGCCGCGCTGCCCGGGGCGCTCCTCGTCTCGCAGGCGCCCCGCCAGGCCGCCCCCGATGCTGCCCCGCCGCCGCTCCTCTCTGGGGTTGCGCTCCCGGAGGTCTGGTCGCTACTGCTGGTTCACTCAGGAGGGAGGGAAGCACACAGGCGCAATGAATCGTCGATTCCCAAGAAAATCCGCCGATCCGGCGTGTGAGTTACAAGGAGTCTCAGCTACAGCCTCGAGGCTGAGCCTCAGCCTCCGGGGGGGTTGCCGGGGTGGCTCTGCCGGGGAAGGGGGGGTGGGGGGGGGGGGGGGCGAGTTTCCGGCGGATGCGTTTTTTGACACCCCTCACAAGGATCGTGGCCTCCGAGGGGGGTCCGAACTCGAGTGCCACCCCTCCCGCACCAAGAGGCTCCGAAGAAGCCTCCAAGAGGCCCCAAGGGGCCCAGAAGAGGCCCCCAAGAAGCCCCAAGAGACTCCCAAGAGACCCCCAAGAGGCCCCCAAGTGGCCCCAAGAGGCCCACGAGGCCCCCAAGAAGCCCCAAGAGGCCTCCAAGAGGCCCCCAGAGGTCCTGGCCAACCACGATATCCTTACCAGCGTCCATGAGGCCTCTGACCCACCACCCACGCACGGTGGTGGGATAGGCCGACGGCCACTGGATAAATGCGGAATGAAAGGGGGAAGGAACGGAAAAGAGAGGAGGGACGAGGGCGAAGGAGGATCACATCAGTCGGAGCGCCCCGGATCGGCGGCACTGGCCGAAGGCCACTACAATATGGGAAATATGGGAAGTGGGGGGGGACACAAAAACCCAGAAAATATGTGGAATCTTGAGATTTGCGTGTGTTTATTTGTGTGTCCTTGGGCCCCTTTACAGGGGTGCGCTCCCAGAGGTCTGGGCGCTGCAGCTGCTTCACACGGGGCGCGTTCCCAGAGCGATCGACATGGGTACGGCCTGCCCGCCCGCCCCGCCGGCCCTGACCTCCCGCCTGCGAGTTCGTCGTCGTCGTCGTCGTCGTCGTCGTCGTAGTCGTCGTCGTCGTCGTCGTCGTCGTCGTCGTCGTCGTCGTCGTCGTCGTCGTCGTCGTCGTCGTCGTCGTCGTCGTCGTCGTCTCTCCAGGCCTCCTAGATGGGGTCCGAGTAGGTGGGGTCAGAGGCTCGCGCCGCATCGTCGATGCATCGACGGGGCGGCTCGACGTGGAGCCCGTGTTTCCGCACGCCGACGTCGCCGCTGCGTCGCCGAGCCATCGGCGATGCATTGGCGAGGCGGCGCGATCCCTCGACCCCATCTACTCGGACCCCATCTGGGAGGCCTCTCTATCCACGGAGCGATCGAGACGAGAACGGCCTACACGCACGCCCCGCTGGCCCTGACCTCCCGCCTGCGCGTTCGTCGTCGTCGTCGTCCTCGTCGTCGTCGTCGTCGTCGTCGTCGTCGTCGTCGTCGTCGTCGTCGTCGTCTGCCTGCTTCTCCCCTCCTCTTCCCCCGCCGCCGGGCAGCACAGCCTGCCCGGGACCAGCGCGGCGGCGCGAAGGACCTCTTCCTTGGGACCGGTTTGTCACCCTACATGTGTACAGAAGTAAGGCACAATGTCCTACAGAGACCCAAATTGGCTCGTGTTTGTTGTGACCAGAGTTCGCTGTCGGTCGGCGTCGCCGCGGCCGTTGTCCATTTAAGACAGAAGGCCGCCTGCCCAACCGCGGCCACGGTCGGTTTGGGACAATTGTTGTTGCTGGGCATCGTGACCAATTTTTCCGTACCCAACTCGGGCGTCCAAATCTTCTCCCAGTTCGGGGCCCCAGGACTATAACAGATCGATCCGGCACGAAGAATGCCGCAGAAAGATGGAGTTTGGGGCTACGGTCGCGATTTGTTGCGATGTTGCAATGTGTTCGTAACGTCGGATCTGAGGGCTCCTCTCGAAGAGATAAAGGATGTACATGCCCAAGCCCCCTCGCGTCGTAAAAAAGACACGAATGAGGTTTTTGACGTGAACAAAGACACGACGGAGGTTTTGACAGGTTTTCTACCTCTGGGGGCCCTCACTGGGCCGCGGGACCGTCAAAAAACGACTCGGGATTCAAATCGTGACCCCGAGAAGGGGTTGAAACCTTCGGGTGTCCGCGTCGTGGAAGAATCAGAACGTCGGGGGTACAGGTAAACAGAAATTTCCAGATCGTCCCGCCCGGCGCTGACACCGACAATTCTGCACCGATTAGATTTTAGGCAAGTTCGATCATCATCATCATCATCATCATCATCATCATCATCATCATCATCAGCAGCAGCAGCAGCAGCAGCAGCAGCATCATCATCTCTAAGAATTATCTACGCAAAGGGCCCAGCCATATGCGGGTGCGAGTACCGCAATGCAGGTAAAGAGGGGCAGCTCCCTATTGTGGAGCCACGAAACATTTGAGGGGTGAGGGGTGTGCCGAAATGGGCGCGGTGGCGCCATGCGAACCTTGCCACTGGGGCCCTCGGTGAGGCTCTCTATGGGGCCACGAAAAGTGTGACGGGGGTGCCAAAACGGGCGCGGTGGCGCCATGCGAACCCTGCCCCTGGGGCCTTCGATGGAACTCCCTATGGGGCCACGAAACGTGTGGGGGGGGTACCCACATGGGCGCGGTGGCGCCCTGTAAACCACTGCCATTGGGGCCTTCGGTGGAGCTCCCTATGAGGCCACGAAACGTGTGAGGGGTGTGCCGAACTGGGCGCGGTGGCGCCATGCGAACCCTGCCCCAGGGGCCTTCGGTGGAGCTCCCATCGGGGCCACGAAATGTTTGAGGGGTGTGCCAAAACTCTGGCATGCGGAGGGCAGAGGCAGCAAGGAGGGGGAGCAGAAGGGAGGAGGGGGAGGAGGAGGAGAAGAGGAGGAGGAGGAGGAGTGACGCGGGGCGCTGTCTCATCAAAACGAGGACCCAACACCGGATGGTTGGCAAAAATGAGAAGGCGGAGAAGAAAAGGGGAAGAGCAATCCCATACTCATCCGCTGATTCATCCCCAGCTCCCTTTCCCGCTATCCCTGTTGTTGCCTTTCTTGTTTCCTTGCCTCCCTTCTTCCGTACCTCCCTCCCTCCCATCTCTTTCTTTCTTTTCCGCGACCGCGACCACGACGACGACGACGATGCCGACGACGACGCCGACGGCGACGGCGACGTCGACGCCGACGGCCCCTATTCCCGCGTTCGTGGCCTCCGAAATCGCATGCCTGCCATGGGAGTTGACTAGAAGTCAAGCGCGCGCGTAGCGCGCGCGCGTGGTTCGAGTATGTCAAGGATATGCGCGTGTGTACATGTTTGTATAGACATGTGTGTGTGTGCTTATATCGGCACACATGCATACACTCAAATCTGCATGCACAGTTGTATCACTTACATATGTGTATAGAGACATACATACATACATACAGACAGACAGACATACATACATACATACATACGCGTGTCTTGACAAAACCGCCGTGGACTTCAAAAAAACCTTCGACATCATCACACACATGACAAGTTGGGAGTCGCTGGCAGAACACAACACGCCCAGACCAGAGATACATGTGTTGACAAAACTTCTTTACGAACAGCTGACAGCATTAGTCCACGCAGACCGCCCCAGCAGGCCGTTCAATACCCTACGAGGAATGAAACAGGGAGACCCCCTTAGTCATCGGGGAGTGTACCGAAACGCGCCACAACGAAATGGGCTTCCAAGAACTACGGCTTCAGGCTGAAAGTGCACGCGGATGGCCGCCTCACCAACTTACGCTTCGCAGACGACATCTTGCTTCTCGTTGGGTCATTCAACCACCTTGCTGACATGCTCACGGACACGATCACGGAGGTGGGCAAGGCGGACTTGGACTTGCGCCCCGACTAAACAGAAATCATGCACAACGGCCACCGACCACCGCGTCGCAAACGCGCCCAGGACTACGTGCACGCGCTCGGCATGAAGATCGAAGTTATACCGCCCTGCCGCGGGGCGAAGTATCTAGGTCGGCAACTACAGAACAGCACGCCCCACGCTACGGAGCTGGAAACCGCATTGCGACGGCATGGCGGAAGTTCCACGCACCTAAGGACGAGTTCACGGGGAGAAGGTATTCACGATCTGACCAGCTACGACTCTTCAGCGGAACCATAATGCCGACGATTCTGTACGGGTGCGAAGCTTGGGCCTTCACGAGTGAACTAGGAAACCGATTGCGGCGAACGCAAAGACAGATGCTTCGAGTGATCGTACGAGTGCCGAGACGCACCGCAGCAAATGCAAATTCCCAGACGGCGCAACATCAGACCCATACCAATTCTGACAACCGACAAGACAGCAGCCACCAGCACGACGACAGCAAGGACGAAGGAGACTGCACGACGCCAGACCACACGCCCACAACACCGCCGACGCACGAGGACGAAACAACGCCCGAATCGCTGGAGCCTTGGGTACATTGGATCAAACGTGCTACCCACGACGCAGAGGCGGCAATTGAGCGGCTGTGGATCAAAGATTGGGTTCCCATTATGAAGCAACGGAAATGGAAATGGGTTAAGAAATTGAGCACTAAGTATATCCGACAGGTGATCCAATGGACGCCGCAGTCGAAGCCACGCAGGGAGTCAGATGGGTAATGGGTTCATTAATACGGATGATATATTGGATACTGCCGCAACAGAACTTTGGAACAAGATCGAACACGATCACGGACGCTCCAGCTCTCCGGCGCCGCACCCGCAGCGCCCCAGACGGTCTTGCACCTCCAGCTCCCGTCTTTCACATTGCTTGTTAGCTCCACCATGCCAGCGTCCAGCTTCGACATCGCCTGACCAACCTCCAGCTTCCAGTTCCATACTCCCACCATACACCATCAGCAGTCGTTCCCCAATCTCCCACCTCCAGCTCTCGACCTCCACCTTTCGACTTTCCACCTCACAAAAGCGACCTACACCTTCCAAGCTCCGATTCCCACCATCCACCAGTTGTCGACTCCCAACTTTTCACCTCCAGTTGTCGACCTCCACCTGTCGGTTCCCCACCCCACCCGACCGACCTCTTGCTTGCAACTTCCGACTTCCACCATCCACCAACCGATGTCGATTCCCAATCTTCCACGTCCAGCTTTCGCCCTTCACATATCGACTTCCCACCTCGCTTGACTGACTCCTGGCTGCAAGCTCCAACTTCCACCACCCACCAGCAGCTTTCGACTCCTATTCTTCCACCTCCAGCTTTCGACCTCCACCTATCGACTTCCCACCCCACCTGACCGGCAGCCAGCTTCCAATTTCCGACTTCAGCCAGCCACCAACATTTGATGACACCCAATGTCCCATTCGCAGTTTTCGACCTTCACCTTTCAATTTTCCACCTCATCCGACCGACCTCCGGTTTCCAACTTCCGACTTCCACCATGCACCAACCGTTGTCGATTCCCAACCAGTTTTCGACCTCCACCTTTCGGCTTCCCACCTCACGCTATTGGCATCCAGCTTCCAACTTCCGACTCCAAGCATCCACCCACAGCTGCTGACTCTCCAATTTTCCACATCCAGCTTTCGACCTCCGCCTGTCGACTTCCACCTCGCTGACCCACATTCAGCGTACAACTTCCGACTCCCACCATCCACCGACAGTTTCACAACATCTACCTTTTCACCTCCAGCTTTCGACCTCCACTTCTCGATCTCTCGCATTATGCGGCCGACCCCCAGCCTTCAGCTTCAGATTCACGGCAATCACCGCCAGCTACCACCATCCAGGCTTCCACCTCCAGCTTTCGACTTCCAGCCTCAAGGGCATGATCTCCAGCTCCACGGGCAACGTCTGATCAGGCCTCGCTTTCGGACGCTCCGGCGCTCCGACGCCGCACCCGCAGCACGCCAGACGGTGCCCATGTGCGGGCATGTGCTCGTGCTTCGTGGTTCGTGCCACATTTGCGTGTCTAACATGTAGACAGACACAGATACACATATTCACCGAATCATAAGCATGCCATGTGGTTATGACGCCACGTGCGAGGTTGAGGCTAGCTATGTGTAAGCTCGGCTTGGAAGTTGCTATACGCACACATGTGTAAACATGTATAAACATATTTTTTATATGTGTATGCATACATATACACGCTTAGCACAAAAAACAGCATGCCCTGCATATTAGGGCCATCTTGGGGGTCGTTTTGGAGCCCTTTTCGGGCCGCCTTGGGGGGCAGTACGCACAGTGTTGTTCATGTCACGCACGGATCAAAGAGCGCGCAAGTCGCAGTGCTGTCTTGTTGGCGATGGTGGTACGCACCCAGTGCCCCATTCGATCCGGGACAACGACTCTCGGCATGTGCTCCCTGCCGATCTCTTGGCAGGATGTTTTTGTTTTCGAGGGTCGGGGGCTAAAAAGATTTGGGAAGGATGGATATAGGAGGAGGAGGAGGAAGGCCGCAGATGAGCGACTGCTCTGCAGCAGCGCGCTTGAGGACGGGGGAGAGGAGGCATAATGGAGGGAGTGAGGATTTGCATGAAGGAGACGGGCCATGGCTGTTTGGTCCGATGCTCAGCGATCGGGAGGCCGCGGTCGTCCAGGAAAAGAGACAGGGAGGAGGACCAGGAGACGGAGGCAGGGGGCAGGAGCGAGGAGACACAGTCGGACAAGGAGAGACAAAGTCGGAGCAAAACCCAACCCCCAGAGTTTGGGGGCGCCCCACAGAGTGTGAACAGCACCTTTTCCAGATGCAGTGTCTGAAACCAGCGCCCAGCGCACTGGTTTCAGGAGGGGAAAAAACACACAGACACAATTAATCGTCGATTCCCCAGAAAATATGGGAAAATATCGGAATTGGGCGGGGAAGACAAAAACCCAGAAAATATGGGAAAATATGGGGAATCTTTTTATTTGTGTGTATTTATTTGTGTGTCCCAGTTTCCCTTCATGGTTGTCCCGACGCGAACTTGCTACACATTCTGCACGCCGGCCCTGGCCAGGCCAGGCCGGGGTCGGCGCACGAAGGCCCGGGCCCCGCTCGGGGCGCTGGCTGCAAAGCACGATTTTGAAGGAGACGCGGACGAGATGGGCACGCCCGGCTTCTGCGTTGTTTGTTGGCTCGCGCCCCTGCGGCTTGAGGCCGACGTTGCTGCCGACTTCATGCAGCAGTACAACAAGGACCCCGCACGCGCAGCCGACGCGCAAGCCATTGAGGAGGAGAGACACCAGGACCCATGCAAACATAAGACGCATCAGCGATGTTGCAATAGACCCTCACTCAAAGTTCCTCTTCATTGGTCCCCATTCATTGGTCCCCACCAAATTTTGTTTTCACGGGGCGAAGTGCCACGTTGGAAGACAACCGTCTGAAAATCATCATTCGCGCCAGAACACGATGATGAGCATATCAACGCCGCGAATCCATGTGACTGTTGCGCCGTGACCATCCTAGATCGTGCCAGGAAACCGCTCTGGGGATTCCAACACCGCGAATCGTCGTGACCGTTGCGTCCTGACAGTCCTAAGCCGCGCCGGAACACCATTCCTGGTGCTTCAACCATACCAAGATCCCAAATTGTTGCAGTGTTTTGAGCTGCATGTGCGCGGGGCTAAGGTGAGAGCCACCCTCCATTCTTGAAGCTGCTGGAAACGTCCTAAACGAATGTGTGCAGCGATCAGGCGAGAGTCACATTTTGAAAGTCAGCCGCCCCAAAGACAAAGCCGGGACGAGGATCACATCGGGCGAGGATAAAATGCGAGGATTCCGGAGCTGCGGCGGCTCCGGAAGCTGCCTCGGGCGCCGCGTCCTCCTCAGGGCGTTCCAGCACGCTCCGATAGCGTGTTCCGGGAAGCTCCAGCACGGACCGACCCTCGACCCAGCTTTAGGTCGGGCCTGTCCCCTTTCAGGGGGATTTTGGGCGAAAAATTAGAAGTGGCCAACAAAGATCAAAAATGGTCAAGAATAGTGAAAAAAAAAATCCCCTGATTATTTTTAGACTATTTTTGAATATTCCCTCCTGTGGAGGGACAGGTCGTTGTCGTCGTCGTCTTCCCTCCTCCCTCGTCGTTGTCGTCGTCGGCGTCGCCGTCCTTCCTCCTTCTTCGTCGTTCGCGTCGTCGCCGTCCTCCCTCCTCCCTCGTCGTTGTCGTTGTCGTCGTTGTCGCCGTCGTCGTCCTTCCTCCTCCCTCGTCGTCGTCTTCGTTGGCGTCGTCGTCGTCGACTTCGTCGTCGTCGTCGTCGTCGGCGTCGGTGTCGTCGTCGAAGTCGTCGGAGACGTCGTCGGTGTCGTCGTCGTCGTTGTCGTCGGTGTCGTCGCAGTCGGTCTTAAGAGGTTTTGCAAACCAAGTTGCGGGTGGGTAGGTGGGATGTTTGCGCGAGCAGTGGAGATGACGACTTCAAGTTCAGCAGAGTGGATTGCACCACATAGATTGCACCTCATGGATTGCAACACATAGGTTGCACCACATAGCTTGCTAGAACACACTTTCTGGGGTCAACGCATGCTAACATGTAATTGTTCATGCAGATGTGTAAATGTACATGTATGCAGGGAAAGAGAGAGAGAGAGAGACAGACAGACAGACAGAGAGAGTCAAAGAGAGCACGCGTGTGTGTGATCCCCTCGCCGCCGGCCCGACTCGTTTGGTTGCGCCGCCGGGTGGGTCGTCTTCTCACCTCCCCCGCCGTCTTGCGTCGCACCTCTGCTCTCTCTCTTTTTCTGCCCGCGCCTCGGGCTTTCCCCCACTGTTTCGCCCTCTCTTCCTGATCGTCGAGTCGTTGCTGTCTCCCCCCTTCCTCCTCCAGGTTCCAGGTTCGCCTGGGTCCCCCGGCGTTGCTCCCTCTCTCTCTCTCTCTGTCTCTCTCTCTCTCTCTCTGTTCTCTGCCTTGGTTTTCCAGGTCGTCCATTTTGGGGGTCGGCGCCACACCTTACGCCGCAGCCGAGCACACGCTTCCGCCCCTCGGCGAGCTGCTGTCCGGACCATGGCCCAGCGGCCTCCCTGGACACCGCGTCACGTGCGCCGCCCCTGGAGTCTGCTGGCGGTCATTTCGCCTCTCGGCTTGGCGTGGCGCCGCTGTCCGAGCCCAGGCTCGGCCGGCCTCCCCGGCCTCACACGCCTTGGGATGGCTCCAGCACTCTTCGACGGTGTGCTGCCGCCTTTGCCGCTCTCCGCCCCTGTGCGGGCGCCTGGGCGTGCAGGCGCCCGCCCGTCGTGCCTGTCCTTGTTGTGCTGCACGCGCACACCGCTCGTCGGCTGCCGCTCATCGACAGGGCTCGGTGGTATTGCCTTCAGCGCGCCCCGCTATCCGCCTCGCTGAATTCAACCAGCCGGGCTCGGAGAAAAGATCGCGTGATCCCCCCATGTATATATATATATATATATATGTATATTTATTTAGAGAGAGAGAGAGAAAACAAAAAAAACAAAAAAGAGAGAGAGAGATCGTGTGATCCCCCAGGCGGCATGCTTCGCCGAATTGCGTGCTAGACTCCCGGCGCTGCTGTGCGATTTTCTCGCAAGATGATGTGGCCCGGGAAAGTGGCAGCTGCTAGACGGCATCGGTTCGCACAGTGTATCGTGTTTGGCGTCGTTTTGTGTTTGCACGGCCGTTCTTGCGAGTTGCGCGTCCTCCTTCAATGATACCCACTTCTGGGAGGAGCGTGTGTACGCTGTGCCGCCAGATAGTCATGACAAGCAAACAACAAGAGGGGTGGAAGCATGACAAGGACGAGGAGGAGGAGCAGGAGGAGGAGGAGGAGGGAGGAGGAGAAGCGTAGCAATGGGTATCGTTCAGCACAGAAACGGCGAGCTCTGACAATGGCAAGTTCAGCGAGAGACAGAAAGAGAGAGATAGTATGTGTGTGCGAATGAAACAGAGAGGGAGAAAGGAAAAAACAAAAACATATAATAATAATAACAACAACAACAACAACAACAACAACAACAACAACAGTAATACTAACAACAACAACTACAGCAACAGCAACAGCAGCAGCAACAACAACAACAATCACAACAACAACTACAAAATGACAAATCAGTGTGCGCATGTGAGAGAGAGGAGAGAAAAGAAAGGCGAGAAGCAGAGGGAGAGATAAAGAGAGAAATAAGAAAGAAAGAAAGAGAGAGAGAGAGAGAATCAGAGAGAGACATGGAGACATGGAGAGAAAGTGAGGGAGGGATGGAGATGGAGGAGGGGAGGGGACGGGGGAGATAGGAGAGCGTGGAGGAGGGAGGAGGGGAAGCGGAGGAGGTGAGGGAGGAGAAGGTAGCGAGCCAGAGTCCACGAGGCCCAGAGCTCCAACGCAGTGCTTTTTCACAACGCGGACCCCCTCCCAGGTTTCGATCCACTCCCAGGGGCTGGCTCTTCATCCCTGGCCGTCTCCTGACGACCCTGCGACCCGTGGAGGACCCCGAGAGGCCGACAACGGCCAAGAGCCCTCCATCTCGAGTTCCGTTGTAGCCCGTAGGCGCTCGGGGGGGCGGAGGACCCCGCCTCTGCTCCCGAAAGCAAGACGAGAGCCCCGCGCGGCACCCCCCTGCAGCGCGCGCGCGGGCGCGGCGGACCTCGACCTGCGCCACGAGGGGAAGGGGGAGGACCGTGAGAAGGAGGAGCACGGTCACGAGCGTTTGCTTTGCGTGTCGCTCCGCCGCTTCCAGCCCACCGCGCTTCCGGCGCCACACGTTGACCACCTCCCCAGCTCACAAGCGTCAACGTGCCCAGCCTTTCCCAGCCTGCCGCCCCGACACCCTATCCGCTCGCAGGGCATGGCGTGTCGCTGGGGCCGCCGCCGCGGCGCGCTAAGCAAGAGCTCCTCACCATACCCAGACCCCCGATGTCATGTTTTTTTTCACGACGTGGGCCCCCAGAGGTCTGAACCCCAGAGGCCGGAAATTGCAAAAGTTGTCCGTCGTGATGCTGTGCGTTTCAGGAGGTCTGACGATTTGGGCCAGCAGCTCCGAGAGTGCCTGCGTGCAGAGCACGCCGTGGTTCGGGGAAAGATCGTCGATGAGTCTGCGCTCGAAGCAGCGGAGCGCGTGCAGAACTCATTGTGGAAGGAGTGCCGCCCGTCTCCTCGGAGGCTGCAGGGTCCGGGGTGCCCCCAGGATTTCCAAGGAGGCCCCCACGGCCTCACCCACGAGGCCCAGCGGGCCCCAGGGGCTCCAAGAGCAAGCGAGAGAAGACAGGGGCACCTTGGGCCAGGGGCACCTTCCAGCAACCCCCGTCCGAGGCGGGGACTGTACCGGCGGCGAGCGAGGGGGGGGGGGGAAGCGAGAAGGGGCGGGCCTTCCCAGAAGACTCGGGAGTCTTCCCCGGCCGTCCGAGAAGTTTTCCAAGCCTGCCCCGAGGACACAAAGGAAACTTCTCGGAAGGCGCCAGGGCTCCTGAGGAGCCCCGCCGCCTTCTGAGAAGGCCGTCTCCTTCTCAGTTCCCCCCCTCGCTTGCCGCCGATCCTCCTCCTCCT